TGTCAACTGTGGTGGTAACGTCGACCACAAGTACATTGGCGGCAGCCTCTTCCTCAAAGGAGATGCGCCCTTCGTAGGCGGAATTGGTGGCTTTGCCTCCGTATTCGTCACGGCCTCATTCGCATAGTAAGTGTTTGCAGTTACACTGATAATCTCTATCTATCATATATCTCTGCCTCCGTTGTTTTTCTTTTACCTCACATATGCTTACTGGTTGGCCAGCGGCGGAACGGAGTCCATTGCCATCACTGCCGGAGAGACGAAGGACCCCACGCGCAACATGCCGAAGGTGATTCGCAATGTCTTCTGGCGAATCCTTATCTTCTATATCCTGGCCATCCTCATGATTGGCCTGAATGTGCCATACGACTATCCGGAGCTGACCACTAAGGACACCCGGACCTCCCCCTTTACCATCGTATTCCAGCAGGCAGGCAGCCGTATTGCCGGCAGCTTCATTAACGCTGTCATCGTCACTAGCGTCCTCTCGGCTGGTAACCATGCACTGTTCGCTGGCACAAGATTGCTCTACACCCTCGCTGTTAATGGCCACGGCCCTACTATCTTTGGGAAGCTTAATCGGTGGAGGACCCCGTGGATTGCTGTCATAGGCACGTCTGCCATTAGTGGTCTTTGCTTCGGTGCAAGTTATATCGGTGCTGGCCAACTTTGGACTTGGCTGCAGAAGTAAGTTGCCCCCATTCCTTCATCCTAATATATCATATTTCCACCCGATCACCCCCTTTCCTCCTATATTCCTCCAGTAAATCATACTAAATTTTTCCCTCTCTGTACAGCATTGTTGGTGTATCCAACCAAATCTCCTGGATGGCTATTGGATACTCCTCTCTTCGTTTCCGCCAGGCCGTCCGCATGCAAAACCTCGAGCATCTTCTCCCTTTCAAAAATTGGACCTACCCATGGGGGCCCATCTTATCAATCGGGCTCAACGGTCTGCTCATCCTCGTTCAAGGATGGTCATCTTTTAGCCCAAAGTTCAAACCGGTTGACTTCGTCAGCTTCTATATCCAACTTCCGGTTATTCTATGCATGTTTTTGACCTGGAAGTTTGTAGTCAAGAAAACGAAGCTTGTCAAGTTGGAGGAGATAGATCTCTTGACCGATAGGTATGAGGAGGCTCGTGTGGCTGCGCGGCTGATCTGGGCGCCCCTTCTGCTGTGGAAGTCGCAGATGGTCCCAATAATAAATGGCAGAATAAACTTAAGGGGGCTGGGCAATGGGTATTTTTGTGATTTTCAACTTAATATATTTTGTTTTTTGTCTCTTTATACCTATATATTTTGGATCTGAGCTACGAACATACCTGCTTGGACTTGCACTTCCGGGACTAAATAACATTCCGCTACCTAATGAGCAGATGATCAATATATAGATATATATATAGAATAATTGTATATACTATTTAAGCTCATGATAAACATTAAGTGGCTGAACTTCAAGATGTATGTACATGTAAAGGACGGGAATTTGTATATCTACTCGGTAGCGGCAAGGGGACAGAGAGGCTGGACAACATACCAAACGCAGTCAGATATTAAACAAGTTAAAGGTATCACTTTATCATAAATCCAAATGCTTCTTTCCTCGATCATGCGGGTTGGGTATAAACTGACATAAGGGAAAAGAAATGGAAGACATGGTATTCGCAGAAGAAAAAGAAAAAGGGAAATAAGTCAAAGACAATGCTAATCAAAAAGTAACGGAAAGGAAACCTTGAGCCTAAAATCAAAGTTGGGGAAATAAAAGAAAAAACGAGAAAAAAAAAATGAAAAAGAAGGTATAGGGAGGGTGAGAGGGAGGATATATAATTAGATGGGCGGTGGGGTAGGTTTTAAGGAAGTTATTGAAAGTTAGAAGGGTACAGTTCGGGGCAATCATATTAATCATTGACCATCTCTCCCAGTTCCATCCTCAGACGCTTGGCGGGTCTGTTGTCATCTTCTTTCTGGCTGTCTTCTATTGGAGTTTGTAGTTGATCAACCGGTGCTCTTTGTAGTCCCGTGGTGCGCAAAGGGGGCAGAGACACTGGTGAAGTAGGCGAGACGTGTGTAGAGTTGCTGAGCACGGATCCACGGCGGAATGGAGAAAGAGGATTTGAAGAATCGGAGGTAGAAACTGTGCGGTCAGATGCCGTGGGATGATGTCGTTGTTCCGTTTCCAGCCATGGCAACGAGGGAAATCTTCTAGGCTGTGCAACCTCCTTTGGAGGCGGAATATCTGAGCTTCTGCCCAAAATAGGAGGAAGTTTAAAAGAGGCTAACCCTTGATCAGAGGGCTGATAGCTGGCTGGCCAGCTCCCAGATGGCCCGGGGCTTGAGAATGAGGACGAGTCAGTAGGGCTTCTTGGTTTATAGGCCATATGTGGCGAACACGACGCCCGTGGTCCCTCCCCTGGAAATGAGTGCATTGGCGATAGGCGGCCCATTGGCCTTTGGAGTTGGCATTCCCGTGTCTGGTAGTCATGAGTGGGAGCCTGGGGCGTTGGCTGCTGCCCACTCGATGCCGGCCGCCGTGCAGGCACATTACCAGCTGTAAAGGGGGATGGGGATGGCAAGATCGGAGGTGTCCACATTGGAGGCTGCATAGCAGTTGTCGGGCTCGATCCTATTCTCCGTTCTCCTTCATTGGAGGGCCCCCCATGGGCGTGGTTGAAATCTGTGCTGGGTCTGATTTCTCTGGATGATGGATTTCTCTTGTGTCCTCGAGCAGGTCCCAGAGAGGCTGAAGGGTGTTGCGACACTCTCAGAATTCCTGGTTGCCCAAAGGTTGACTCGTATGTACGAATGGGTCCCTCTTCCGCCTTCAAAGGAGGCCTACCACGGCGCTTATGGGTAACGTCTACACAAGATTCCTACAAGGGCCAGTCAGTCAATACTTGGAATAATGGCGTTTGTATGAGTTTATACTGATGGCCAAAACGTACCTCTTTACCTGCAACGACACATCGTCGGCAGGGCCGTGCAGAATCGCATCCTAGATGTTTTCGTTTGCAATTGACGCAAGCAGATGCAACGTGAGCTTTTGCCCGGCGTGTTGACCGCGGAGGAAGTGTCGTCGTACGTGTAGAAATGGCATTCGGCGCTCCGAATGCCGGTAGTAGATGTGGTGGACGAATATCATTCACCGACGGAAGCCCATACTGCTGGTTTGACATCTGCGACTGTCTCGGGTCGTGGACTGCGCGATTTATCCCCTGCCCGCCGGCCATATGATGGCCTTGGTAGTCATGATGCGACTCAGGATATTTCAAGTTTGATGCTGGAGAGCTTGGTCGTCCTGAATGCCTTAGTCCGTGAGATAGGTCAGATCTAAATTCTGGGGGCGGAGAGCCTGACATAGGCGGGGAGAGATATGGACTTCGACAGCTGCTCGAATAGCGGGAGTCTGATACGCTGAGATTTAAGGAAAATCTTAGCGGATCTGACCCTGAGCGATGGGGCTGTCCGAAGGTGTCGTTAGGGAAGAATCGGGCAGAAGGTAGGCACTGCATTAGGTAGATTGTTGAAGTGCGGGTTCCCTAGGTCTTAGTAAATGCGCAACCCAGCAAACCAAAATAGGATTATGAATCGTCGAGAGAAGCTGTTCGAGTTCCGTCGGGTAAACGTGTCGTTAACGAGATATGTCCCTTGTGTTCAAAACTCGGCCTGCCTTAATCATAGCGATCAAAATTTCCGAACTGGGAAGCAGGTGTTCAGCTTTGGCACCAGGATAACAATCAAACCGGCCTGGTGGCTTGTATGGATTGCCTGAGTTGTAACGTTGATAGCGAGCAACGGGGGTAGGATATATAGCCTCACTGGCCTTGACAGTTTTCTTATATCCTGTTCTCGACTGTCGAAGTTGCAAAAAAGCAAGAGACAGACGAGGCAGAGCGTGGGTATAAAGTAGGGCAAGAATATGGCGGTTTAGAACACGTCAAATGGAACCAGGTTTAACTTCACGGATAGGCTTCCCGTAGGTAGGGTGTATGTAAGTACGTTGTTGATGGATCAAAGATGACGTCTGTTACAATTCCCAGAAGTGTTGCCAATGGAAAAAGAGAAGAAATATCCCAGGACAGAGTCGAGTATGTATTGAGTTCAATGATCAACGGATCGGGTGTGACCGTCAAAGAGCAATGCAAGGTTGCCGCCTCTGCCTGTCCGCGTATGATCCAGAAAGGGCAAACTTGGGGACTTCGGTGCAAGGGAGCGGTGAAGGTATAACTAAAGGAGACAGTGTTTTGGAATGTATATGAAAGCAGTCAACAGTGCCAAGTGAGAAGAAAATATAAGGGGGGAAGGAAGAAGAGAGAAGGGAGGGGAGAGAGGAAGAGGGAGAAAAAAGAACGAGATCAGACAGGATGAAGCAGCTGTATTAAGTGGTGGAGGTGGTCGTAGTTTGTAGAGTAGCAATAAGCCTGCAGCATGAAGGGTCAGGGGTCTGGCAGGTTATGGGCGGCGTTAAACGTAACCTAAAAAATTCCGGCTGAATGAATTAATTAAGCATTATTAAGATAACCCTCCAATGCAAAATCGCGGTCTTCGAAGAACGGAGCCCGATTGTTCTGGCCGTTTATCAATTCTTTTTTAGAGTGAGAGAATGATGGCTGATACAAGGAGGTATGGTAGATTCCGTCACTCTGGGTGCAATGGAGAACCTGTAGGCACGCGGGACCCTTAAGAAGTACCGAGAATGAAGAACTTCCATTTGTTCAATGCAGATAGATACCCTATGGCAAGAAGAGTGATCGTGAGCCAATCTCCGCTGGTGGAGTAGGCTGCGTGTGGGGTCGTCTTTTTCTTTTGAAAAGGAAAAAAATAGGAAGAAGAGATAAAAAAGCAAGTTGCATCTGGGTGTCACCATCGTGATGCTTTCCTAGAAGAACCGTAAATCAGAGTTGGGAGGGTCTTGGACCGCAGGAGAATTGCAAAATTCATTGCCGACAGGAAATACGCAGCCAGGGGATATTCATCACGCTGCACATCGTATCCGCAGTGGATAGCATGGCCTGTGCAGAACGACACGGGAACGATATCCACTGGCAAATAGTGGTGATGGCGAAGGAGAAGCCAGGTACCGTTACTAGTGGATTTTATACCGTGGATCACCCACCTGGCATAAAATTGTGGGCGATATTATCAGGTCTCCTCTTTCTTTCTTGACATCCCACCACCTTGAGTCAGGATGGGCGCTAGTTTGAGTTGGCTTGCTTGGGCCTGATCTTCATTCTGGTCGATCAGAAATAAATATGTCTGTCTGCCAGTAGTAGTTGTTTTGCATCAGCCAGGGGACAAGTAAGAAAGCAGGGATCATATGATAAGAGCACAGCGCCTGATTAATCATGATTGGTACAGAAGTTCTATACTTCTTTGTTTTTTTTATTTTAGGTCTTCTTATATGAAGGATATGTTTTTCTGCATACTGCCCAATAAGGGGGCTCGAATTATTGAGGGCAGCAAGCCATCCGCCCAATGAGTAGCGGAAATCCCATCGATATGTGATCCTTAGGTGGCAAAGAGCTGGATCGTTTTGCCTGGTTCGCAATTATTTTCATTTTTGAGATTCCTAGTTTCCATGTCAGCTAATCAGCCAGCAGAGAATTGTGTGGTGGCTTGCATGGTTCAGCGATGATGAATATAACCTGAGAGCGTCCCTTCACACGGTGGCAGACCAGTACTCCCGTGCCTAAGTACTCCCTCCGTCCATCGAGTAACAGCGTGTGTCCTGACGGGCTGGCGTAACCAGACAGACGTGCTCTGCGGAATCGAGGGTGATTGTCGCTCGCTCCACTCCGTCATCAGCGCCGGAAACATGAAACCTGGGAGTTGCAGAGGCAGGCTGAGCTGTGCAGCACGAGAGATCTTGACCTACACCGTCGCCTACTCGCACGAGTCGTGCCGGGCCGTCAGCAGCGCTGCGATGTACCGGATACCGCGAGGTTGGCGGCTGGTGAAGTTGACGTTGAAGTTGACGTCGACTTTTCCTCCTTTTGACGTTGGAGCGTTTCCTCTTTCGGAAGCGCCTATTGTTCCGTCTGTCCTACAACGGCGACGATACCAGAAGAAAACAACATATCAAGAGCCAGCGCAACCACGCAACAGAGCTATCATCCACGGCGGTGCAGAGAAATAAACAAGGTGAAAAAGAAATGCCGACATTATTCTACGCTGTGCCCCTGCGTGCTTGAACCGTTCAATGCGAGATAAAATACCCCGGGTGCCGCGAGCTAGTCGGCGCCTATACCTTCGCTTTGGGTACATGATACATATCTACATCTAACATCTCCCACACAGAGGGCCCATTATTGTCGAGTCCCGCCAGGACAGCATTGACAGCGGTGGAGAGCCTCAAGGAGGCGTTATATTCCTCGTCCTGGCGATGCGATTGCGCATTGCCCCTGGGGGGAGCGCTTGACGGCGAAGAACCCTAGATGTCTAACCGAACCTGCGCTGGTGCGTTTCTCTCCGTACCCCTGAAACCACACGAGGTCAATCAAGGCTCCAGAACCGAAAGCTTGTCTATCTGCAGCACCATTGCATCAGAAGCATCAAAGCGCGGACGGCGATCAGAATATCAATTGATCGCAACCCCAAGCCTTCGTCGAAACAGAGGCCAAGCCCCCAAACGGCACCGATGACAGATCATTCAGAGAGACGGAGTTTTTACACGGGTGTCATCTTTCTGAGGACCTGGTCACCGCCAGGATTGCTCGCATTTTCCAAGGTATGTAAAAAAAAAGGGCCATTTTGGATGGAAAGCGTACGGACGAGTTCGGTCCAACGCCAAAGCGCAAGGCTTAAAATAAAGCGCCTTGTGCCATGTGAGGAGCATCAGTGAATTATATATAACTAACCCTGTGCTCTATTCTATTCTATTTTATTTTATTTTTTCCGTTCTCCAGCCCTCATCTCAAATAGTCAACCTTTCTTTTTTCTCCCACTTAAGGTCTTTCCGACCTTCCGACTCACTAGTTGTTTCTCGCTTCTTAACACCGGATCTACGGCATATTCCGCCAGGAGGGAAAAGGGCGTTTAACTTGATAGTCTGCATGTGTATGGACTTACCCGGTACGGACAGTGGGCTAGTTAAATGTGCGCCACCCACTTTCGTGATCAAGAGCAAAACCCGATATTATGGAGCATTCCCAACCAAACTGATGCTATCCAGAGCGTTTCCCACCACTTCGCCAAACTGACGATTAGTTATTGAGGGGATAGCCAATCATGGAGCAAGTAAAACCCAATTGGCTCAGACGGAAAAAGGAAAGGGCAGAAAGACATTCAAAAAGAAATTATTATTTATTGAATTGTTTATTCCCAGGCTGGATTCCGTCGATCATCCCGGACGTGTCCCAAACGTTATATCAAGCGCCAGCTCCATTTCAAATATGAACCGGATATGGACTACCGTTTGAGGCGAGGCTGTGGCTGGTAGCCACGGAGGATACTTTCATGGAGAAGTGTGAACATGCTTTCTTTCTCTTCTGCGATTTGGGGAAAATCTCCGAACCTTATCAATCCATTATTTTAGGCCTCTTCCCATGTCATATGATCGCACGTCCATCACGGATACAATTCACCCATATTTGGACCTGGCCCTTGGTCTTCAATGTCTCTGGCCTGTGTTTCAACCCGGCAGGTTGGACGATGGATGCCTTTCGCCCACACAAGACTGCTTTCAAACTTCTTTGGCTCCCTTGGGCGCCTCTCCTTCCCAGCTAAGAAATTCAAAAGGCCTTGCACACGACCCTATGCATGGCAAAGCATCCCTACTCTGGGTGCATTTTTAACGTATGTAATGCAATCACGATCGCCGTACCTCGGCATGTGAGAGACATTTGTGATTGGTTTCTCGGGGAGAAAAAGGGCAGCAAGACAGCATGCTCGTAATAATCATCAAGCAGTAAACCAACTCATCATCGAGATATATTACTCAAGTGAGCACGATCCCTGCCACGGAAATTAAACGGAGCCTTCGAGATGCGAGTAATTGAAAAATGAAAAATGGAACAGCATTTTTAACTTTTGACAAGTAATCAGCTAAAAAGATGTGTATATACGTTATACATGGATCTTGCATATGCATGTCGTATCATACCGCCAGATACATACAACGCTCCGGTGTGCTGTATGGCTAGACACGCTGAGGTGATGTATCCTGGGGTATTGTATCATCATCCTCTGGTTCTTCAAGCTGTCATTTCCCCAGCCTCTCTGCCCCCAAACATAACCCGTCGATCCTCTTTTATTTTATGTCTTTCGGGTTTGGATCCCAGGTTCCGACCCTTTTTTTTTTAGGTTTTCAAAGTTATCAGCTGCTCGCTCCTCAACGTAACAGAATGGCATCATTTTCCGCCTCGACGGATCCGGCTTCCTTCTGCACAGGATAAACGGTCCTTTAGACCCCATTTCTCCAACGGATAGGACTTCGAACATGGTCTCCCAGGTCCTGGGTCCCACCGACTCCATACTCCGTACAGAGCGTCCTTTTCCCGTATAAATATTGGTGCCCATGAGCCCTTTGCGAGGCACACTTCCAAGTATATACACGGTAGAACTAACGCAGCTTTTTGTGAGCCACAACCCTGTGGCTGCCAACGTGCTCCTGGGGTCCTTCCCGAGGGAAAATCTTAGCTGCCATCCCAGCTTGATAGCAGAGAGATAGATTGTGGTATCGCATGAAGCGGATCTATTCGAAAATTCTCCAAATGGTTTTTGCCCGTGGCTCATTTACCTGCCTTTTCGGTAAAAGCGTCCATTGCCTGATCGCCCCTAACCATGGAATTTGACATGGGGATCCAACTTAACGATGTGAGCTAAAATTAATCCCCGAAGTCCGAATTTCGTCTCGTCCACACACTTTCATGGTGCTTGTTGGTTATCACTCGCTTTTTCTTTTTTCTTTTTGGTTTTGTGCAGGAGCAAGTCAAAACTCCATAGTGGTGTGGCATATTGATACCCCCCCCCTCGTAATATATGTATGTCTATCCAGCCTGAGGAATCACTGACTTTCTTCCCAGGTCGCCAAGCCAAATGAAGCAATAAGGCATGCTCTAGTGGTCTCAGTTCTATTTAGCACTGTTTAATGCGATGAAAGGTCGTATTAAAGCTGAGGACATTCGTGCCGCATGGGCTTTGGGAAATATTATTTCTCCAAGCAGGTTGAACTTGCATCATTATGGAGTATCAATGTCATGAAAAAGCAGCAATACTCTGTTAAATTGCCAGTGTCGACAGAGAGAGATCCTTATTTTTGTTCCAGTAGGCTTTCCTTCTTACGCCTGATGATTGTCGGTCGGCATCAACGGGATCGACGCGGGGCCAATAGCTCCTCTTCGGCTCACCCCATACCGAAAGATAGGCTATACATGGCGTTCTGTAACTCGCTCGAGCGACGGAGTCCTCCGTCTCCCTGGGATTTGGAGCATAATTTGCCATTCAAACTTCTGGGCGGGGCTGATGGGGAGCTTTGGTGGGATTATTCCGTTCGCGTCAATAATGGGCCATCTAGGCGCCGGGAGCAAGAAGACGGCGAAATGGGCGAAGCAGAAGACTTATTCGGCGGCGCGGTCGACGACGGGATTTGTTGATGCTGAATCTGACACAGCCCCTCTGGTCTCCATATCATGGAAACCGAAAAGAAGAAATGGAAAAAGAGAGGAGGCAGACATTCTTCCGAAATCTACTTGGCATTTTCGCTTTCTTTTTTTCCAAACCCCAGGCAAGACCTTACCAAAAACAACACAAGGACATGATTGTAAAGAGAGGCTCCCTGTGAAAATACTATATTAGCGCCTCACAAATACCTCGATGATGTACTCCGTGGTTATATAATTACCCCGATATAAGAAGCTCCCGGGGAAAATAGCCTGTTATATTGGGGGTTCTCACCGCATTATGGCGAGAACCAGCTTCCTACCGGCCGAGCGGTTTTACGTATTAAATCCCATCAAATAGTCTGGCCACAATATACCAGAGAGAGTCTGAAACAGTACTTAAGAAACCATAGTTAGGCACCGGGAAACAAGTTATCGGCGCCTGTATAGTCTTCTTTTTGTCTAGTCTCTGCCTCGTAGTTTGGTTCTCGCTTCGGGATTGACGGGCGACCCAAGGCTAATTGGCTCCAGGGCTGCAATTATGGTATTATTTACCGAGTTCGTCTCCCGTTATTTGGCTGCCTGGGTGGAAACGTCAATGCATGATCGTAGCCGTCCATGGTACCGCTGGGATGCCTCGTACATAAAACAACCCCATTGGCCTCTCCGGTAGAAGCTTATCCGAGGGGGAATTGAGCTATACCGATCGCCCGCTCGGATCAATTTTGCTGTTATAGAGACCATGTGGAGAGTTTTAGTTACTTTTGCCTTCCTGGCTTCTTCAACGGAGATCTAGAAAACTTTCGTCAGACGCTGCAAAAATGAGAAAAGAAAAAAAGGAGAAAATTTGGAGAATGGTTTTGAACAGCCAAAACACATGGAAACAGGGAGGAATACGGAGCAAATACATAGAATGAAAAAAAGAAAGAAAGAAAGAAAGCAAGAAAAAGGAGTAGAGGGAGGAGACTTGTCTGGAGCAATATTTGTTCCATGAGCTGGAGACTCCACAGGCCCGCGGACAATATTATGATCCGGGTTCTCTCAACATCTCATCACGTTCAACTGCTGCTCGACTGCAGAGGGCATTATGACACACGATAATTGCTCAAAATTATGCCCCAGCAGTTCATTTATCTTCGATTCAGCGTGCTGCAGGACTTATTGACAAGGTTATCTGCGTATCGAACTGCAGCGAAACAACGCTAGCTGTACCAAAATACGACATGTTGCACTGCCTCGACAATGACAGGCGAGTAGAATCGGACTTTCTGCGGGTGTTCATCTCGGCTCCAGGTTATCCCCTGCATACGCAAACCAGGGTCATTGCTGGAGGTCTTGGTCAGAAGGCAGAGCAGGAGGAGCAGGATGAAATTCCTCTAGCTGGAGAAGAAGATGCTGCCTGAAAGAAAGAGAGGAACATTGCTTTGAGTTCTCTAGGGAACGCATCGTTCCTTGGCCTGGTTCTTGACAACAATCATCTATAAACTCTCAAGCGGGAGAAGAGATGGTTTAGTTATCCTTTCGGAGCGAACCAGAAACAGACATCAGACATCGACTTTTGATAGGTAGACTGATTTTCTGGTCTTCCACCCCCCTATCATCTGCTTCCCCGCGCTCCCTTGACTAGTTGAGCATGCTGCTTTCCATATATGTATATGCTCTCGAGTCTAGTCATGCAGTATATACGGAATATACGAGGCAGCCTGAAGATAATTCTGCACCGAATGACTTCTTGACTGGCTGATAGTCAAAATACACTTGCTGGAAGAACCGTTGACCAGTGTCCCACCGGGTCTTACCGCCTGCGAGCGTGCTGCCCTGGGCTGTTTCATCTGGTCAAAGTAACAACTCCACTGGAGGTAAGGCCAACCAACTTGCTTTAGTGCCGTTTTGAACAGAGCTCTTGTCCTTTTTCCCTTCACACCCGGTCTGCCGGAGTATATCAGGCCAGACATGCAAATAAAGTGCGGCAAAAGGTGAAGAAACAGTTCTGTGGACACGGAGGATTATTTTTCTTCTTTCTTTACTCCTTTTCTTTGGTTCTTTTTTTCCCGGAAGAAAAGTCGTTGAAAAACGTCTTTGGCTCAACATCAAACGAAGCGAGAGCCGAACCAAAAGAGGTATGTCTTTCCGTATAAGGAGAACGAGATGGAAGCTGGGACAGTCTTGACTCATTCAACAACAGCCAGGATGAACGGTCATCTCCATGAGCAGGGAAATATACACCAACCTTCTGTCGATTTTCTTGTCTCGTTGACGAATGGCAGCGGGAAAATGGCCTATACGGATGTCGCTTGGATATCCTGGTAAACATCCTGCGGAATGCCCGATACCCTGCTTGCCATGGAGGGGAGATGCTTGTATACTTAAAACAAGTCATGAGTTCCACGCAACCAGGCTTCATCTTCTGCTGCTGCTTCGAATTCCCTCGTCTCTCATCATCGGCCCACCTCCGGCATCGAAACGATCTGTCTTCACAAGCGAAGCCGATACCGCAGTAGCTGAAACCGCTGTGTCCAATTAAAATGCTGTTCATTGATCCTGCGAATCAAGGTTGAGATGGCCCTAACGTTGACAATCGCCCCCATGTGTCCCGGAGAAAAGTCAAATCTGATCTACCGGGATCTCCGCAATATGTAGCATCCTACGGAGTATGTCATCCTCACATCTTCTGGCAGACTTGAACTGCCGAAAAGCACGGGGTGTTTCATAGGTATACCACTTTTTGAGAAGAAGAACCTGAATGAACGGTTGGAAATCCGGGCGCGAGACAAGCCGTGCCGAGACCCCCCGGCGTTACAAAAAAGAACGGTCATCTCAAACCATCGTTGCCCCGTATATTAATTAGACTACGGCACACGCGAGCGCCGCGAGCTGATAAGGGTTAAAGTTGATCAACGTGGAAGCCCTGAAGTCCAGTTGCAACAGTGACATCCTCCATTTTCCTACCTTCTGACGTTGTTAGTTCGTTTGCGGGACAGCTAGTAATACCGGGGCTAGCCGGGTGATTTTCGGGAATACCTTAAAAATTTAGAGAGGCAGACAGGGATATGCAGAAATATATCGAGTCTGAATATAAACACCTGCAAGCCGCGGTTGGGGCAAAGTAATATCAAATCAAGGTGATTTGAGCAGGCGACGGGGAGCCAAGCTCGCTGAGCAAGGATGAGAAAGCGGTCACACGGTGACGGACCTGGGAACCAGGGGCTTTGCCTGTGCTGCAAGATAGGAGCGTGTGAAGAGGTTAGTTGAAGGGAAATGCTGGGAGCTGCAGGCATACTCCTTATCTCACTGAAAAGAGGGCCTTCTGTTGCTGAAGCTCGGTAATGCTTTTTGATTCCATATGTGCTGTATAGTTTGCATACTGTCTATTATAGCTGGGAATGAAGATCCCATGTCTTCTAAAAAACACGATAGGTGTGTTTCTTGTGACTTCATGTCTATCGACCTTTACCTTTTTTAGACGGTCGAGCATTCTTCTCTTTCCTCTTTTCCAGCTGTTTTCTGGCTTTCCGTACATCCTCGGAGTTCTTGAGCTCAGTTTTGACATTCTTCTTGCCTCCGTATGTCGGTATCCCTGCATCTTCCCGTCGTTTTTGCATGGCCTCTCCCTTCTTCTTCATTTTCTCATAGTCCCCACGATACTTGTCCGCGGCCTTTGGAGCCTGCTCTTTGTTATGCCTATATTTCCTTCCAGGAATACCCCCGGTATTACCGAGATTGGAATTTTCCATCTCTCCCACCCTCGGCATCCGGCCAAGTCTCTTCCCCTTCTTCCAGGAGTCGAACCTGCCACTGCGGAAGCTTGCAGCAATCTTCGCTCCACTCTCGCCTCGCACAAGTTTCTCCCCCTTGGAGCCATCCTCGTCGTTTTGACGTAAGACGTATTTTTTATGCCGTTTGTCCCAACGCTTAATTGAACCTACTCCGCCAAGGCCACGAGCACCTTCATCACCGTTAAGGTCCATGGTGGCAGATCGAGAAGCCTCAACGAAATTGGTGTTCGAATTTGAGCCGCTATGGACTCCATAGCCGCGATCTTCTGTAAGCGAGATAGATGTTGGGGTGTAAGACATGAAATATTCAGGGTTCTGGAAAGTGTTGCTTTGATTGCCGTTCTCGACGTTTGAACGGGATTTGCTTTGTTTTGGGTATGAGAATGTCACTTCCAGGTCTGATTCTTCGGCAAGAGACATATCCGGGTCATCGTGTATTGAGGCATCAATATCTTCGTCTGACATGTCACCCAGGTTTCCACCTGCGTCATCATCTATCTTCCCTTCCTTCGAGTTTTGCAACGGCGAATTCTGCGACGCTAACTCCCTCCGTATCTTCTTCCTTTCCATGACGGAGCGAATCTTGCGCATTACCTCTACTGCCTCTTCATTTCCACTCTTCCCTCCCCGTTTACCCATGATTTCGAAAACGGTTTCCTGCGGTTTGTATCCTCCGACTCTGGCAAGCATTTGCTCCCTTTCAACTTCCAATCTGCTCGATTCATCATTGAACAACGGGTGTATCGTCACCCAGGCATCGGCGGCGACGATATCCTTTGCTCTCTTTGCACTTTCAGCCGAAGCGGAATTTCGGGTCCTCATGTAGAGTTTTTCGCCCCGAATAGAAACTGAACGTAGTCCTTCGATATCAATATCATCACTTAACAGCTTATCCACGTACTCGCAGTGGCTTTCAAGGGACTTTCGCGGCAGACTACCAACAACGATGTCTTCCGCATAGTTGACATTTTCCGTAGCCGTTCTGCCCATGAGAAGCCGTCGTCCAAGAAATAGCTGTAAATCAATTAAATATGGTGCATCTGAATCACGTACCAGGCTGTAACTCCAGCCCTTCTGGCCTGCTCTGGCGGTACGTCCAACACGATGAATGTATATTTTAGGCTGAGAAGGGAAATCATAGTTAATGACATTTGCAAGTACAGGAATATCAATTCCTCTAGCCGCAACGTCGGTTACAACCAATATATTGGATATCCCGGCTCGAAAATTCTGAACTTGGATTTTGCGCGCTGTTTGATTGAGTGAACCGTACGCGTATGAGACTGCAAAACCAGAATGCCGAAGAAGATGGGCGATGTACTCGACGTGATGTTTTGTCGCCACAAACACGATGGTCGAATGCTCTGTGGGAGTACCGTGTGCGCTTGGTCCTTTCATATCCGCCCGTTTTCGTTTTTTCGAGGCTCCCTGTTTCCCCTCTTGAGCTTCTTTCTTTGCCATTTTCCCAGCCTCAGTCTCACCAGTTGGGATCTTGATGAGGTCATGAAGGATGTGCAACAATGCGCCCTCCTTGTCGGCAGACTTTACGGTGAAAAATGCACTTTGAAGATCGGGAGATATTTTGCTGTCTGCATCCAGGCGAATAAGGGTTGGTTCCTGTAAGCCTGCGCGAGCAAATTCCACCAAAGATTTTGGAAGTGTTGCAGAAAACAGGAGTGTTTGGCGAGAAGTGGGTAATGCATGCAGAATTTCAGTGAGCTGGGCCGCAAAACCCATTTCAAAAAGTCTATCGGCTTCATCAAATACAGCATACCGAATGCTGGAAAGATCCAGGTTCATTTCTACTTTGAGATGAAGGAATCGACCAGGAGTAGCAATGATAATGTCAGGGTTTGACGCCATATATCCGAACTGTTCTTCAAGGCTGTCGCCTCCAACCAGAAGCACGCATTTAAGATCGGTCCCTCGGCCAAGTTCCTTGACAACCTTTAAAGTTTGCAATGCTAATTCTCGAGATGGTGATAGAATCAACCCCCTTGCACCAACTTTGGTACTGTGATTCCTAAACTTCTCAATCATGGGAATGACAAAAGCAGCTGTTTTCCCCGACCCAGTGCGCGCCATACCCACAACATCTTGATCATCCAGTAATAGTGGTATCGTTTTCCGCTGGATGGGTGTTGGAACTGAGAATCCCTTCCGTGTGATGGCTTTCAACAAGTTAGGATTAAGGCCCATCGCCTGAAATCCGCCGCCCTTCTTTACTGTGCGTCCTTTCAAGGCAGATGCTTTGCGGTTCATCAATGATTGCTCGGTAGCAATGAATGTAGCATCACCATCGTCGTCCTCTTCGCCTTCTAGCTCCGCCATCATGTCCAGTGTCTGTGCATGTGTTTCTGGTTTCTTCTTTTGTTTTTGCTTCTTTGAAGGAAGCTCTGTATCGGAGTCATCATCTGCAGCAAATAAAGTCTTTGTCAAATCAAACTCGGCCTCCGACTGAGCCGGAGAGGCTGCCCGCTGAGGCATCGTGGGGAAAGTTATTTGTGGTATAATCGAAGCCTCAAAGTCTGTCCAAATGATTGGTTAGATGTACAAGAATACCATTCATACACATAAGAAACAGACTAGAGCTTCCGGGTGTATAGTTGCTCTAGGCCGTGTGTAGGGTCACGTCGGCGTAGCTGTCTTTCTATCAAATATCAAAATTGAATATTTCTTTAAGTAAACTTTTTGATATATTTTAAAGTTTGGGGTTCCAAAAACGGTTCGGAAGGAATATCAATTTCTCCGTTATGAAAACCACGTGACACTCCCTCGACGCGTCAAAAAGAAAAAAACACGCGAAGTTCAATTAAAAGCGACGAAGACAAAGACGCAAATAGAGATCAAGACAACCTGCTGCGGTGCGGGTGAACACTGTTACTCGATTATAGCCGGTCTTCTAGCATAAATAGAGCTGTCATGGGTGAGTTCCATTCTATAGGGTGCCTGTTCAAACAGCTAACCAACAACTACAGATTACGGGTACGGCTCAACGCCATATGGCGGGGGGGAGGGCGGTTTTGCACAAGGTGACAACAGCAGCCAGTCAAAGGTACACAGCATGGAGAACCTGCAGTGGAATTGTCGCCTCGTTGTATGTGAATATGAGCTGACTGAGGGGGTATAGACATACTCCGGTGAATCTAGATCGGTTCGGCCAGTGACCATTAAACAATTAAACGATGCCACTCAGGCATTCCCCGAAGCCCCCTTCAAAATAGATAACGCCGATATCAATCAAGTATGTTTTGTGGGACAGGTTCGAAATGTCAACAAGCTAGCGACACACATCACGTACAAGCTAGACGACGGCACCGGAGAGACGGACGTGAAATATTTCATTCCTCCTGAAGAAAAAGAGGCGTTCGATGAGCTTGAAGCCATGGACGTCATGGCCATGGACGGTGCTGGTAGCAATGCTGGCCCAGCTGCTGTGACAAACAAGTCCGGACGACCGAGAGCCTACCAGATAACAACAAACGGATACGCAAAGGTGTTTGCCAATGTTAAAACATTTAATGACCGGCGGCAGGTTAACGCGGTGTTAATCCGGCCCATAACGAATATTAACGAGTACCATGTTCATTTCCTTGAGGCCACAGCAGTACATCTCCATTTCACTAAAGGCCCGCCACCGAAGGCAGGTGGTGCTTCTGGGGCGGGAGCCGGCACCGGAGGTGGTGCGATGGATATGGGTGGCAGCAATCTCTCCCTACCACGAATGTCACCGATGGCACGAAAACTATATGATGCTCTCAGCAACAGCAGACAGACTAATGAGGGCATGCATGTGAATGTTCTGGCGCCGATAATGCAGGTGAATGTAAATGAAGTCTATAAAGCAGCCGAAGAGCTCCTGGGACTCAGTGTGATATACCACACGGTAGATGAGGACACCTGGAAGATTCTTGATTGCTGATGTGGCTATTACCTGGCTTGTTGACCACTGGTTATTGGAGATCTATAGATGAGTCTATTCAGCGGGTCCAGCCCTGTTGGATTTATATGTCCAAAAATTGATGTCCAGAGATGTAATGGTATAATTCTACGACCAGCATACGCCGTTCAACATGAACCAGAATCACCGCGACGTTCTTACGTATTGGTATGCATCTTCTTCCATGCATAGCACAAGGTCGGCTATCTAGCCGCCGCCGCAATGCCATCCCCGCTTACTCAGCCTTATCTTTGCCACGGTGTGCAACGCCAGAATACTTTAACCTTAGTGCATTCATTTCTTCGGCAGCGGCAGCAGTGAAAGGCAGTCAAATCGAAAACTTCTTCTTATTACTGCGCTGAATCCTTATATGTAAGGATATCAACCGACGCCCGCCACTGGTCGAGGGAATTGAGAAGGGGACTACTCCGTACAGAGCAACAAAATAAAAATCCTCCGTATGGCCCACAGCTGACACCCCGTATTCAGCCTGCACAGCATAAGCACTTATCCTCGGAAGGATCTCAATCAGACCATATCTCACTTCCACAGCCGTGAAGGTGTCGCATACACATCACAACATCCAGCTGGAATCGCGAGAAAGAGACAAACTGCAAGCTGCCTTCCTCGGCGGGGGATACCGCATCTCACTTCAATCAATACACCCACTACATGATATACCGTCGGATCTGCAATGACAGACCTAAACGGTATCAGCCAGGCGAACGGCGCGGACAAATCTTCAACGGAAACAGCCCTGCATGGCGCCGAGCAGCAGTCAAAAGAAACGACAGGCATACTTGAACCGCCGACCCTACCGCCTTTGTCCACAGTGACTCGCAATCTACACAACCAAATAACAGCATTCCTTGCCGAGGACCATGACCCTTCTTCCTTACTCTACCGTGTCCAGCAACAAACCTGTATCTCTCTAGACGTTATCCGAGAATCCCTAACAAGATACCCCATCCACGAACTCTCCATCTCCTATAACGGCGGCAAGGACTGTCTTGTTCTCCTCCTTCTCTTCCTCGCAAGCCTCCATCGGCACTGCGCTTCAACCAGTCCATCATCATGCTCCTCCTCCATCGCCAGCAACCAATCTCATAGCAGCAACACCCCTCCTTCTCACCCAACATATATACCGGCAATATACGCACAGCCTAGGCACCCATTCCCTTCGGTCGAGCAATTCGTCACACAATCGTCACAGGCTTACCATCTCAAGTTAACCCGTCACTCAACTGATCCTCCACACTCAACCATCCGCTCGACGTTTGCAGAGTACCTGTCTTGCAATCCACAGGTACGGGCTATATTTGTCGGAACACGCCGCACTGATCCCCATGGCAGTGAGTTAACGCATTTCGATCGTACGGATCATGGATGGCCGGATTTCATGCGTATCCATCCTATAATCGATTGGCATTATGTGGAGATTTGGGCGTTCATCAAACATTTGGGAATAGAATATTGCCCGCTTTATGACCAGGGATATACCAGTTTAGGAGGAACCAATGATACCCATCCAAACCCGAAATTGAAGGTAAAGGGGACAGTTGAGAATGGTGGAGTGAATAGTCATGTTGTTACTTATAAACCTGCCTACGAGTTAATAGAGGATGAAGAGGAGCGTCTGGGGAGGGACTGACTTTGTCTTTTTTTCCCTTTCCCTAACTTTTAGATTTCTAGTCTCCAGAACTACAGAAAGTGAATTATCAAAAAGTGGAAATAATAGAGGCGAGGGGCTATTAATATATGCCTAGAATTAAGGAGATAAGCTGTCCTAGGTACGTTTACGTTTCTTCGCATTCAAAAAGCAATGCAGTGAAATGCTTTCTCAATTGTTGACACCTATCTCGGGATATTTTATCAATCTACGATGGATTTTGAGTGGTACAACTGGGGATGTTGGCATTCAAATAACTGCGTTAAGAAGCGTAACGTGTAAAGGCTAACTAAAAAATACTATCTGCCCACGAGTTCCTGGCACCATCCATAACCTGTATGATCATGTTGATATCTCATAAGTATGAATGAGAGTAGACATGAGCGACATCCCCATAATACATGCAGGTACATGTACTTGGCCGGTGAAAATTGTCAATCAAGGCGAATAAAATCAAAGAGAAAAAGAAAACAGATCAGTTCTGATACAGAATGCCTCACCGTCCGGATACTGTGAATAAAATGAAAATCAAATCAATGTGTCATAAAGTCATAAAAAGGGATCAGATATTGGTATGCTCTTGAGTCCCGTGATCCAGCATGTAATGGAAAGAATAAGAGTTTGTCTTCGTCGCTAAGCTTGGGGGCCTTAGCAGGATGACCGTGGAGTTGAAACAATGATATCCTTCCGAGAGGGGATTGGCGACATGATGCTCGTCTTTGCGGCTCTCGATTTCATGGGACTAGAATTCTCAGATTTACTTCCACTCATGTGTGGAAGTGGTAGGACGGTAGTCGAAGATGAGCTAGAGAGATCATCTGCCAAAGGGCTTCTATGGACTGTGAATCTTCCACGAGCGCTTGGAGTAGTCTCAGCATTGAGTTGAGGTCGTCGGGATGCCCATGAGCCGGTGCGGATCCCGTTCATAGATTTGTTCATCATGGGGCCGCTTCTAGTGGCATTAGTATATGTCAAGCTGTAGCAAGGGGCTGGAGAATTCATACGGTGGAGAAATAGATGTTGCAGGAGTCCAAACTTGTCCAACACCTCCAATTGGAGAGGGGTAGCTATTCTGAGAAGTTGGGCTAAAATGAGAGGCGGCTTGCTGTAGACGATGGAGGCTCGGAGATGGAGTAGCACTATTAACCAGCTCAACTGAGTAGTTATACTCTCCGGCACGGTAAGCACGACGCTCGTTGCTTTGATGTTTGAGCTGTTTTTGAGCCTTGGTATCTGCAAAGCGCAGGAGGAGCTTTACTCCATCCTTTCCAACAACATTGTGGAATTGCTGCACGACCTTTTCGGCAATTTCACGGGTCTCGAATCTGGAGCTTACAGTCAGTAACTTAGCTGGCTTGGAAGTGACCTGAGAACAATGACAAACCTAGCAAAGCCAACTTCCTTGCTAACTCCAGTCTTTTCATCTCGGCTGATTTTCTCAGATACGACTTGGTAAGGTTCAAAGTGACGACGAAGGTCCTAGAGCACTAACATTAGAATGTGCTTGGTGTAGAGATCGGACAATAATATTCCACATACTGCCTCAGCCCAGTCAATGGGAACATTAGTGCAATAAACGTTTGTGGAATTCTTGTCTTCCAGGTCCTTAAGACGGGAGTTGCGAGATTTCTAGAGAAAGTCAGCTAAAAGAAACGCCCAGGATGCTTCGAGACTTAGGTCCCTTACCTGTGCAAAGCTAGCCTGGTACCCAAGGTGGAAGAATCCTCGAATGCAATTCTCGCAGGCATCGAAGCTAAAGAATTGGACAAAACCAAACCTAGAGAGCAATTAGTAAAGGTATAAAAGAGACAAAAGATACCGAACTATACCCTTTGCACAATCCAGTCTCCAAATCAATGATGGCTTTGCATCTGTCAATCTTGCCAAAACGTGAGGCATAGTTATGCAGCATCTCATCTGTGGTCTCCGGGAGGAACCCACGGATGTAGACATTAGTAATACCTTCACGATTCTCAAGGCACTTTGCGAGAGTTAGATCGGAAGGGTTAGTCCACATAGCGGGGACAGCACGTGGGATAGGAGGCTCCTGTTTGAGCAGGGCATCCAGGTCCTGGAGGACATAACCAGAACCAGACTTCATCATTTGGTAGGGAAGAAGCTGCTGAGGTGTAGGGTTGTTATACATATAACCCGGGGCGGAAGAGCGGTCAACTGGAGCAGCACCAGGGTAATAATCCTGTGGTGGTCCAGATAGGCCCATATTGGGGCTTCCTGTATTCACTTCGTCAACAGAGGTCCGTGGATCAAGGGGAATATTCCCGTGGTTTGGAAAATCACCATTTGGATAATACGGCCAGGGGTACCCAGATACACAATCCGGAGTAAAGGGAGGGTTAATAGGAAAGCCGGGGAAAAAATTAGGAGGAATACATTGGAGAGAGCTACCTTGATCAGTAGCACGCATCGGGAACTGTCCAAATTGCGGTGCTGGAGTGTAGCCACCAAACATGGGCCCATTAGGGGCCATCATGTACTGTCCATAATGCTGGATACCAGACATATCAACATTGGGCATCGGCATACCACCTTTGGCAGGAAAGGGCTTGGAGCCATTTGCCTGGCTCTGAAGAGACATCTTGTTGAAAGGATGGGCCAAAACGCTTCCATTAACAGTGCTAGGATTGTTGGCAACTCCAGCAGGTGGGCCATAGGCCTGCTGACCAACGTACGGGTGGTGAGGCTGATTTTCTTGCACGTAGCCAGCTCCCTGGCACTGCGGAGCCGTAGCTTCAGCCTGAGATCTAACCTGCATGGCTGGTCTCCAGTACTTCTATACAGTGTTGCCATGTCAGCATGAATAATGCTTGATACGGAGTTGAAGATGCAGAAATCCCCGAAAGAGCGTATATAATGTACAGCAAAAGTCAGGACAGGTGAGCAGACTTACTCTAGCTTGAGGATATGCTTGACGTCTATCCGGCTTGTACGCAGCAGGATAGCCGCTAAAACCGCCCACGGCCTTCATGTCAGCGTTGAAATTCCTATGAGCATACATGTGAGCCGAATAGATACAAAACCGTACGTACAAAACAGCTGCTTGACGGCAAATATAATGGATTCTGGGGTGGTAAGAAGACGGAATGAGGGACACTGAGGGTATCAAGGACGAAAAAGGATGATCTTGACTGTAAAAACAGCGGTTGTCTGGGGAACTAGAGCAGGAGAATAACAAGAGAAGCCTCTGAGATACGGACGACGAAGACTAGCAACGGAGAACTTGATGCTGGTGATAACTCAGGATGCAGAAGACGATGAGAGGAGATGAAGTGAAGATGAAAAAAAGATGAAGCTGAAGACGGGGAGAAAAAAAGGGCGCGAAGGGGAAGAAAAAGGCTATGCGGACGTCAGTCGAAAGGAGGGGCAGGCAAGGCGGAGGAAGCAGGCAGCCCAGGATGGCCGAAAGAGGAAACCTGGACGTCTGCGGAGGAGAAAGCGCTTTTTACGCCTGAGAAGTCGAAGTCGAAGGCGAGGAAGCAGAAGCCGAAGAAGCAGCAGCAGCAGAAGAAGAAGAAGAAGAAGAAGAAGAAGAAGATTGTGATTGTGAAGAGAAGAGAAGAAAGAGAAAAAAGAAGAAGGGAAGAAAGAAAGCTGGAGGGTCTATATATATGAGCTAGCAGTGACTGTGAGATCAGACGGAAGCAGTCTGATAGTGCCTGTATCGTCGAAGTGGATGCCGCATAGCAAATGCATCTCTGCTGGCAGGACAGCCAGAAGGTGCCTGAATAGAGGGCAGAATAAGCCTGGATAAAGAGACATGATATTCTGTGGCAGTTCCATTTCAATAGGATGGTATTGGAGGCCAGGACAGCCCCATGTTATTGTGGTGGTATCTAGGGTATATCAAGTTCACAGGGCCATGTTGAAAGCAGGCTAGATGAATGAACAAGCAGGAGAAAGCATTGTTGACATTTATATGTATAGTCGTTGCTAGATGTTTACATAATATGGGTATGCTATCTGCGGTTCTAGGAGAGCAGCTCTGCCGCCGGGCTCTTGGTTGGTATGTATATTGATAACGATCCTTAGCGATGGGTATACGAGGATAACTCAGTAGTTAGCTATCTTGGTTAGCCTTGAGCTAAGTCAACTCTTTTATGAGTTACCAAAGGCTGAATCTTGGGCTAGAGCAGTAAATTATTAGCACGCCTACCATATATCAGCCAGTCTCACTCGGACACCAGAAATCAATAACTAACAAACGCAGAGAAGAAACGTAGGAAAGAAGAAAACAAGAGGCTGAGAATGCATTCCGCGTAGGACGGAGGATTCCGCCTTGGCGAGCTTAACTAACGAACTAGTCAGCCAAATTTTTGCTAGCAGACACCGGCATCAGATTCAACGGCTTCATCAGGAGTTGAGATACTGCCTTCTCAAGGACTAGCTAACATGCATTGACAAAGACCAAGCGCCAGCCAAGGGATAATAATCGATCTATCAAAGGACACCATCTGATGTATGTTCGTCCAGCCAGCCACAATATTACGACGTTCAAGAATAACCGCTACTCTGAAAAGTTATTTAGAAAGGTGATATATAGTCCTGTCTGTATATGCTTCTTCGTCATCACTCATGAACTAATAGTCTAGTAAACGTAAAAAAAAGGGGGAAAGAGGGAAAAGGAGAGGAAGACGATCTATCCAAAGTCAAGCATCAATAAAGAAAGCAAATATTAGCAACTTAGGGGATAGTAGACAGCGAAGGCCAAGAATGAGAAGGGAGGATGAAAACAGGCCGTTTGCTCGGAAGACCCGGCGGGAAGAAAATCAACAGTCCAGACAGACCCCAGCAAGAACCTAAATCGCAAATTCTAATGAGACAGACCTTCCCTGTTCCTTTTTCTCTTATCTTTATTTTAATTCTCTTTCCTGACACCTAGAGGTATTAATCTGCCCATCTGAGCATGATGAAGGTACGGAAGTATGGAATATGCAAGTCGGTTAGTAGGTGGCGGTAAAGGATAAGATAATGAGGTAGATAGTGGCGGTTAGATGATGCTCACGACCAGACGTCCTCCTGGTACGAGCCGGTGTTTCGCATATGCTTGACGAGTTCCTCACCCTTCTCGGGTTTCAGGCCTCGTTGCTCAGCGAGGATCTGGCCTAAGACAACGTTGACTTCTCGAGCCATGTTGGCTGCATCTCCGCAGACATAGAAGTTTGCCTTCTTGGAGAGTAGATCGCTAACTAGCTCGGCGTGTTCCTTGAGACGGTGTTGGACATATACCTTCTGAGAGGTCTCACGGGAGAAAGCAGTGATAAGCTTGAAGGAATCACCGAGTTTCTTGGACACCTCCTATTATGTCGTTAGAGAATAAATAAATAAATAATAAAAAAAGAAGATAGACCAACCTCGAACTCTTCCTTGTAAAGGAAATCCTCTGTGCTCTTACGGCAGCCGTAGAAAAGGATAGTAGGGCCGACAGTCTCGCCCTTTTCAGCCTGATGGACTCGTTCCTGGATGAAACCACGGAATGGAGCGACACCGGTACCAGGACCAACCATGATGATTGGCTTCGAAGGATCGGACGGGAGCTTGAAGTTGGAGTGACGCACATGTACAGGGACATGGAAGCCATCGTATTTGTTGCGTGGTCCAGAGATGGCATAAGTCAGACCGAATGGATCTGGGTTGGGCTCGCCATGCTGTTTCTGTTTCAAAGCAAGAAGGTAGTTGGTTGTTACACCCTTGACAACATGGCCGGCACCGGGGACACGTAACGATTCAACAACAGCAGTGATGCTGATCTTTTCCTTCTGGACTATAGACGACGAAGAAATGGAATAGTATCTTGGCTGGATCTTGGGGATACCTTCGATGAGCAGGGAGAATGGGACGGCGGTAAAGGGCTTATCGGTGAAGGATTGCAGAGCTTGGGCGATGTTAAAGTAGAAGGCAGACACCTTGTCAGAGAAAACGTCTTTATCTTCACCAATGCGGATCATTTTCTTCTTGGTCTCTTCATCCGGAGCGAATGCAGCGAGCTGGGAGATGAACTGTCGCGATACGGGGCCGCAGGTTTCAATGTAGTATCTGACCACGGAGTCATAGGTGGTTGGCTGGGGGAACGGGACTTTGGCAGTGACATCGATAGGCTTAACACGGACGACGGTATGACGCTTTTCTTCCAGACCAAACACCTTGAGGAAACGGTCGACTTCCTGGCCGGCATTGGTGGGCCAGATAGCGATGTGGTCACCGGTCTGGTAATTGAGCTGGCTTCCCTTGATGTCGAATTCCATGTGCAGGCAGTTACGGTCTTTGACGGAGAACAGTTCGCGAGACTCCACAATGGGTGAGAGAAATGGGTTATGGGCGTTGTAAGGTCCCTGGCCTCGACCCTTGAGGTGAGAAGAGTTTGGCTCGCCGAGATAGACATTCTCCGATTCGGTGTTCAAGTCCGCTTCTTCAATGACGCTGAAGGTAGGTTCATAGATAGCCTCTCTCTCTTCAAGGCCCATCTCTTCCGCCAAAGCCTTCCACATGGGTTCCTTCCAGGCGAGATAGTCCTCTTCCATGGTTCCAGCACCGTCATCGCCTTCTCCAGCATCACCGATCCTCTTAGCACCACACTTGGTCAGAGCCTTATCCACAATTCTAACCATGGCGTTGTAGTGTTCGTAGGTGTTGTTTCCGAGACCAAACGCAACATATCGCATCTTGGAGAGTGGCTGGTCTTCCGGCGATCCGCCGTCTTCAAAGCTGGCATCGTCACCGGTAATGAACTGGAAGAACTCGACCGCGTTATCTGTCGGCTCACCCTCGCCGTAGGTAGCCAGGACGAAGAAGGCAACCTTGTCTTCGGGGAATTTATCGAGGCAGGCATAGTCATAGTCTTCCAGATCAGCAACCATGGTCTTGAGACCGAAGCGTTGCGATCCCTCCTTCGCCAGCCTGGAGGCATAGTCTTCGGCGGTACCGGTCTGCGAGCCATAGAAGATGACACAGTTCTTGCCGGTTTCCTCGAGCTTCTCGACGATATTCCGGGTCTGACCTTGCTTTGCGCTGTTTGTTGCGGCGTAGGAGGAGGCATAGGGGTCCTTTACGACGGCCCAGTATTTGCCCTTGGTGAAGTATGCTATCGTCCCAACGAGTATGACCGCCAGGACAAGCATGTCCAGAGTATCAACCTGCGCCATTTTGCCTGGAGGCCAACGGCTATTTCGACGAGCTATATGCAGAAGCAAACAGGAAAAATATGTGAGCAGGTCTGCTGTAGCTTTGCTATTGCCTAAATGCAAAGGCTCAGGGGCTCGGAATACGCACACAAAAGGCTGGTCTCAATTTTCGATTCCCTTTATCAAAGTCGATCCGATATACGTGTCCGTTGACGCCGCCAGTCCAACGCAAGTCAGGAGGGGCACGTCCTCTTTTTGGATCTTGCGCCGGCTCAAAAAAAATATATGGGGTGATTATTGCTCGAATTATCTGATTCTCCGGCTGAAAGTTTCGTTCGGCGGCCGCTTAGTTCTTTTTAGCCGTGCTGGGGTGATTTTTTCCCTGTGGGATGCCGAAGGCTGGACAGGTTGCTTTACTTTGCTCAAGTCTTTTAGTATCTCCTTGCCGAATCTTCTTGTTTTTTTACGCTGTTCCTTGCCAGTTAATATCGTCCTTCTTTTTCCTCGGGCACCGGGCAACCACTTGGCCTGTGATTCCGCCCTCCTCACGCTTGCTTCTCTTTGTGTGATTCCGCGCCACGAAAATTATCTCTGTGGTCCACAAGTTATGTAAGCCGTGAAATGGTGGAAGAAGAATAATACTGGACAACAATGCGGGATGGGGATGGCAGCGGTCAGGGGAGAATGTCAGCCTACGCCCTGGGAACGGATACAGCTGCTCAGGGGTTCTGTACTTAGACCTCCCCTCGCACAAAATATCTCCTAGCCTTGCCGGATCATTGATCTTCAATCCCAAGGCTCTGCTCTTCGGGCTCTGACCTGGGATCCGAGCCTTCCTTGTCTTCCCGTAGATTTTTTTTTGGCTGATGTATTTCAAATCTGTTGAGCTTTCAGAGTCTTTGGTCAGCCGGGCTACGGCGCTATATTGAACCTTAGCCTGCTTACTGCTGTCTCCTGCATGTCGCCTGGCATTCGATCAAATGGCCAGTGACAATGGCGTTGGCTTGACTATCATCATCCTGACCTGCAGATATGTGTGTATAAGCCCATGTCCATAAGCCACCCGCGCCATGCAAGCATCTCAGCTACCGCAACGACAGGCAAGGCCAGAGTATCCCTGCTTACCGCACTCACTCCGTACCTATAAACCACAGCTCTCTCTCTCTCTCTCTCTCTCTCTCTCCTCGTATAGCCAACGGGCGATTCGCATCGTCTGCAGTCATCTTCTGTGCAGTTTGTCGTCGTAGATTGTAGTCGTTAAGAAGCGTCGACGTCCTGATTAGTCACCCATCAACCACCACGACCTTCGGCCTCGCAACCTCAACTCCTGAACTCCCATCGACCACCGACCTCGAACAGCCACCTACGACACCGCTCAACCATGACCAGAGACACGTCTGCTGTGCTTCTTGTGCGCTCTCTCGGAGCCTCCTCAGCGTAGTGTCGACCCTCTGTCCCGAGCATGGGCAATGGATAGCAGGAGAATGCGGGGAGCAAGACGGCCACTGCATAGCTAAGCTGATAACCACCCATCTGCTTGGGGCCCCCTTGAGCAATCATGCAGCAGACTCGTAAGTAAGCCCTTTCGCTCGCTCTGTCTTCTCTGCCTCCTTCAATGGCTATTGGCCTGCGCCATGTATTGCCCTGTTCTTCCCTGTCTACTGCGTTGTCTTTTCGTCTTGTTCGCCCTCGGGCCTCTGGTTGGGTGAAACGCGCTTGACATCATCTCACTCACCAGCTGTTGCAGCTAGTCCACACCCGATGCGACAGGCCCCGCTAGGTCAAGGCCAGTCCCTGGCTCTCAGTAGTAGTAGTTCGACCCCTGACGAGCCGACAGCGGCAGTGGCAGCACCAGGAGCAGCAGCAGCCGCCGCAATAGCAGGATCAGGACTGGCGGCGCACACAACTGCCATCCATTCTCCCTCAGACAGAGCCGCTTCTGCGTCTGCTCCTCCTGCTGCTGGTGTTTCTGGCATTTCTGCTGCCACGAGAAACCCACCTTCGTCAACGCCACACAGTCGAGATGTTTCTAGTGCTCGAGGCCGGGCGGGAGATGCGACTTCGGCAACTGGATTTGGCCTTGCTTCTTCTCTACAACTACACCCCCAGCTACGCAACCAGTCTCACTCGAAGAGTCCGGAGCCGTTGAGCGAGCGAGAACGGCCCGGCGGCGTTGCGTCTGATAGCACTGAAAGCCTAGAAAGACGGCCGTCGAACTCGTACGGCCATCACCGTCAGGCCTCTATCGTCCACGGCAACATTCAACACTCGAGAGGACCTAGTTTTGCCAATTCGCAAGTCACCTCTAGCCCTCTCAGTCCCGAGATGATCTCGGCAGCTGGATTCACGCCGTCTCTGAACGAATCTAAGCTTAACGGCGGTTCTCGAGAGAATGGAGACTACTCGTCTTCCAACTTTGTATCCTCTGCCGGCGGCGTGGGGAATATTCTTCAGGCCTCCCCTCTGTCGTTGATACAGGATACTGTGAGGCCAGATGGCTTGGAACGCCAACACTCCCATCGTCGAGCTGTTACAACGGGTAAACTACGCAGGGAAAATTCTCACTCGAAAACTCGGTCTGGTCATACAAACCAGGAAGCAAAGACAGTGGGAGAGTATGCTCTCCATCACCTTTTTAATTCTGTTCGTCATGCCGTAATCTACTTGTTTCCTTTCACAAACAATACTGACTATATATAGTTCGTGGGCCAAGCGGAGGAAAAGATCAACAAATGTATCATGAGCCTAGGGGAGTTTGAGGCGCCAGTAGAACAAGTATGCGGTCCTGGTGCGGACCCAACCTTTGATCAACTTATAGCTGCCCTCGGTCATATTGCGAAACAGAAACCAAAACCACTTATCGACACGATCATGGTATGGAGAAAGTCAAAGGGTGATGCTGCTGCTACCGCAAAGCAAGGCTGGGTTCAGGTATGTGCTATTCCAACATCGAAGCATGATATAGCCGCTCCTAACGTTGCTATTAAGCCTAAACCTCCACCACAAATATCGGCGACCATAATCCGACGCAACACAGAACCTCCACAGCCTGGAGCAGACGCACCAGACGCTGGGTCCCCACCTCCATCCATTCCCATCATTAACCGACAGGAAGACATACTCATGACCGAACGACGGGCAACGGTCTCCGTCTATCTTGTCTGTCGAGTCCTTATTGAAATATTCAATCAAAGTTCTATCAATGCGATTACACAGGAAATGGCCAGCCGGCTGGAGGACATTGTGTTTGGACAGCTGAAAGCGGTTGATCCGGAACAAATTGCTGCATCACCACTGAGAATGGCTAATTGGCGCATCTATGGTCAATTACTCGGTATCATGAGTGAAAACAACTTCTCCAGTGTTTCCAATCAGTACCTTACTGAACTGGCTCAATACCAACGAGAGGAGGGACGGATAACTGCTATCAAAGAGGCCGAGACTAGAGCCGAGTTATTAATTTATGGAATGCGACACCTTCGGCTTCGAGTTTACCCTGATGAGAGATGGGTAAAGACCTGTGATTTTTTACAATCACTTGCTAGGCTGTTCAGTGATGCACACGGCCAACGGCTGAAACAAGCATACTGTCAGATACTCGAGACTTTTCTGCTTCCTATCGCCGCCAATCCTGGTTGTGACCTGTCCTCGCCCAAATGGAAGGAATTCCTAGAGATCCTTGTGCCTCGTCTATCTCAAGTTCTTATCAAACCTCGGCATTGGAATAGCGCTTTCCCTCTTCATATCCTCCTCCTATGTGTATCACCTCGAGACACGTTCCTCTCTCAATGGATGCCCACTGTGAATGCTCTTTCGCCGAAGCTGAAAGAGCGCCCCACTAGAGCAGCCGCACTTCAGGCCATATGCAGATTACTCTGGACCTATTTGTATCGCTATGCCGACCCGCTAAGCAATCCTCTCCGTAAAACGGAAGAGGTGATTCGAATTGTTCTTCCGGGTGGTAGACGAACCTATCTCACCACCGAGCCTACAGTTGCAGAACCAATCACCCAGTTAGTACGCATGATTGGATTCAAACATCCAGAGATGTGTTTCCGTTCCATCATATTCCCTCTAGTCAATTCTGATCTATTTGCATCCGGCAAGGACTTGAAAATCGAGCATATGGAACCAGAAAAGATGGTCATCGGCATCCGTTCATTCCTGGCGATCATGGCTGATATCGAAAATGGTGGAGGGACACCTCCTCCTTTTCCCCAAGAATTTGCAATCACGGAGCAAAACCCCATCTCCCCTTTCGCTCCTCAAGCGTCTATCCCCGAGCCACAATATACCACAGCATCAACCCCTAAATCCCAACCCTCTCCGATCCCATTTAACCCATCTAAGTTGAATGATAGCACGCGAAAATACTACCTACGTTTCTGTGAAATATTAGGAAAGATCACAATATTATGTGACAACACCTTTGGGGGACAAGCAGCTCTCGATGAAAAATTTGGCGGTGTTACGCCTAAAACTCCCATAACAGAACATTTCACCTTCGGACGACGCGATGACCATGCGAGCACTCCTGACCAAAAGCAAGGCTTTTACGATCTTCTACATGTTGCTGTTCAGGCGCTTCCCCGCTGCCTTTCGGATCATATACCATTCAATTCCCTTATTAACCTACTTTGCACCGGAACTGCACATGTACAGTCTAATATTGCAGCGTCGTCTGCAGAATCACTCAAGTCGATTGCTCGCCAATCATATGCTCAGCACGTTGCTATCGGATTTGCTCGGTTCATATTCAATTTTGACGCCAGGTATTCAACAATGTCCGATGAGGGAATGCTGGGTCCTGGCCATATTGAATCAACATTACAGTTATACGTTCAACTTATACAAATATGGATCGAGGAAATTAGGCAGAAAACCAAAGATGCCACCTTTGATTTGGCTGAGAAGGCTGGCACAGGTGCCCGAGGACTTCAGCTCGACCTCTCTGGCGTCCTTGCTCATGTGGAGGAGATCGAATCCCATGGTCTGTTCTTTTTATGTTCTCAGTCTAGGATTGTTCGGGCATTTGCTATCACCGTTCTTCGCCTTGTGACGGAATTCGACACGGCACTAGGAAAGAGCAATACCCGGATTATCCGCATAATGGAAGGTGATTCACGACGAGTTTTAGACTTAAAGGATGAGTCCCTGACCGTTGCTGAAAGAAGCAGGCTACAAAAGGGCAGGCAAGAAAATACAGCTCACAACACCCTTATTGAACTGTGCAGTAGCGAAGTGTCATACGACTCCACTTTGTGGGCTAAAGTGTTTCCGAATCTCATTCGTATCAGTTTCGATACTTGCCCATTTGCCGTCACTCTTGGGCGTGAAATCGTTTGTGCTAGATTGGTTCACATGCACAAACAAATTACACATATAGCTGAAGGGCCCCCGCCTATACAAATAAATTCTCCTGACCATATTCCCACGCGTCCGATTATTTTACGAAACGGAACGTCACCTGAAGTCATGATTGAACAGTGGAAACTATATCTTATCATGGCTTGCACTACGTTGAACAGTGCTGGTGCGCAGTCTCAAAGCCAGTTGGCAAATGCACAGCACGCTCGGAAGGCCTCCAAGTCTGGACAACAAAATCAGGATAAGATTAACTCGGCAAGGTCCCTTTTCGCATTCGTGATTCCGCTTCTCTCTGCCCCCCATGATTCCATCAGAAGTGCCATTGTTGTTGCCCTAGGCTCTATCAACATTGCGTTGTACCGGACCCTCTTGGAATCGTTGCAATATGCTGTAACTACTTGCAAGGAAGAGGCTAAAGTTCGCATCGGGACTCACCTTCGCACCCCAAGCACACCAAGACGGAATAGACGTACAGATCTACTCAGAACGGAAGTGACCAATGTGTATAAAGCGACTTCGCATTTTCTCAAAGAGCCGGAAGTTTCCAATGACGACTGGATACTTAATAACATGGTGACGTATACCCGAGACCTTCGGATATTCCTTAGTGATGTGGAAGTGCAAAATGATTTGGAGTTCCAAAATCTTCGATTTCACTTCTGCGGACTACTTGAACAGCTGTTCGATGGTATTAAACGGACAAAAGAACCTACTCGATGGATGCCATTTGAATCCAGGAAATCCGCCTTCTCCCTCATGGAAGACTGGTGTGGCTACTCTCCTAATCAGAGCCAAATAGCGGTTCGAGAGGAAAACATGCGGAAGCTTACCATTGCAAGGCAGAGAGAGAATGGGGAGGTTCGTAGTACCGCTGCAATGGAGATTGAGAAAAGAAACCTACGTACTGCTGCGCTGAGTGCCATGGCGTCTCTCTGCGGAGGCCCGATACGCATTTCGACTGAAAGCGGAGCCATTCTTCAGTTCGATATTAGGCGTATGCTTTCATGGATCGACATTATCCTCAACACTGAAAGCGACAAGTTACATACCATTGGTCGACGAGCATTAAAGAATCTGATCGTTCACAACAAAACCCTCCCGTACTTACTTGAGCAATGTATCGAGATGTGTTACCTATCGGAGCGACCCAAGGCTCTCGAAAGCTACTTTGAAGTTTTTTCCCAAGTTGTTGTGGAGGAAAGTGACTACCCGGTTGCATTTTGGCGCATACTAGGTGCCGTCTTGTTCACTCTCGGGAACTCTAAAAGGGAGATCCGCATGAAATCCGCTCGCTTACTGAGAACAATTGAAGAGCGAGAACAGAAAAACTCGAAATTACAGGATTTCGACATCAGTATCTCTGATAGGACAACTGCTGTTTATAAGCTTGCTCAATTCGAGACTTCGAAACGACTTGCACAGCAACATGCTGATTTGGCGTTCATCATTTTTTCAGAGTTCTCCCTGCACTTCAAAAATATCCAGCCGGATACACAGCGTAATATGGTTGCTGCAATTCTCCCTTGGATCCAAGCGATCGAGCTTCAACTAGATCCGAATGGTGGTCCGACTTCAAGATCATACATGCTACTATCCAACCTTTTTGAAATCACCATTCGGTCTGGGACTGTGCTACCAAACGAGGTTCAGGCTCTTTGGCAAGCTCTTGCAACCGGCCCCCATGCTGGCAATGTGCAGCTGGTTCTTGACTTTATTATCAATCTTTGCTTAGAGAGGAGGGAACAAAATTTCGTCGATTATGCTAAACAAATAGTTGTTTTCCTAGCCTCGACTCCAGCCGGTTCCAAGGTAATCGAGTTCTTCTTACTTCAAGTCGTACCGAAAAACATGGTACACGAGCGGCGTGAGCCGCTTCCCGCTCCGTCTGATCTGTCAAGCCTGCCATACGTTGCGGACCTGGGTACCATTTTACCCGTCGGGAACAAGCAGGTTGGCTTATCTTTGGGACAGGTGTCCATGATATTCCTTGTCGATTTGATGGTTGCACCAGTGAGCATCGGATTTGAGAGTGTAATCAAACTAATCCATGTTGCACTTATATTTTGGGACCACTATACTTTGACCGTTAGAGAACAAGCTCGGGAAATGCTGGTCCATCTAATTCATGAGCTTGTCGCATCGAAACTGGAAAATGAGGTCGAAGGTGCCCAACGTCAATCTATCGAGGATTTCGTGGAATGCATTAGGCAAAGTGATTCTACTGTGGTTTGGGAGTATGAGGACAACAATGGAAAGGATGAGAAAGCAGCAGGCACAAGGGTGCCATCGTCTATGCATCATGTTGCCCACAGCGTAGCTGGAATATTTACCGCTGTTTACGAAGGGGTAAATGACCACTGGTCTAGGGAAGCGTTGAACTGGGCCACTTCCTGTCCCGTTAGGCATCTCGCCTGTCGGTCGTTTCAAGTATTCAGATGCATATCCACGTCTCTTGATTCTCGTATGCTTGCCGATATGCTTGCACGGTTATCGAATACCATTGCCGAGGAAGAAACGGACTACCAGACTTTCTCGATGGAAATACTGACCACATTAAAAGTCATCATCAGCTCCCTTGCCCCACAAGACCTCTTACGATACCCTCAGCTGTTTTGGACTACCTGTGCTTGCCTTAACACAATTCATGAACGTGAATTTATGGAAAGTCTTGCTATGCTTGAAAAGTACTTGGATAAAATAGATCTTTCTGACGAGGGCGTGGCTGCCAAACTTTTAGAAAGTAAGCCGCCGAAATGGGAGGGAGAATTCTGCGGGATTCAGGACCTAGTCTATAAGGGATTGAAATCGTCGGAGTCCTTACACGAAACGCTCCGGATGCTGAGAAGATTAGCGGTATTACCAAATAATGATCTAATTGGTGATGGGAATCGCTTGTTGTTTGCAGTCTGGGCAAACCTACCTGAACTGCTAAATGAATATGATCCTTCTAAGCCGTCAACCAATATCGAGATTCATGCGACTCTTCTCGCAAGCATTGCTGACAAACAAGGCTACACTCAATTGTCCAACAGTTTGTTAGCTCTCTCCCGAACACAATATCGGACAAGTGATGAATTTTTGGCTGTTATTGTCAACTCAATATCGATGTACTTTTTCCCAGGCCAGGATGTGCAGAGCTTGGTATTCTTGATGGGCCTGCTAACTAACAACACGTCGTGGTTCCGAGTCAGCCTCATGCGGATTCTCAGTTCAGTTATATCGGAGATTGACATGCGTCGACCAGATATCTCCTGCCATGGCCCTGACCTCATATCCCCCCTGCTTCGGCTTCTGCACTCAAACCTTTGCGCCCAGGCCCTTGGAGTTCTTGACCACATTATGACGGTTGCTGGCAACCCCATGGAGCGTCACCACCTTCGAATGAGTATGGCTTCTTCGGCTTCATCAAGAGCTATCCGGAAGGAGTTTGAAGGGATTCAGAGTTTATATGGCATCCCTGAGCCCAACGGATGGTCAATCCCAATCCCGGCTGTGCAGTCAAATCTCACCAGAAACATGTACATGCCGTGTTCTATACC